CAACTGGATCAAGCCTCAAAATCTGTGAAAGCAGACCTTCCAAACTCAAATGGCTACAGAAGCAAGCGGGAAAGATAAATGACTACAGTGGGCTGGGTGAGTAGTAGGGAGTGGTGGGGATTGTGGCAAACCACAGAGGCATGCCCCACCTAAAGGAAGCCATTGCAACTCTGCTCCAGCCAAGGGTTGCCATGTGGGAATGAGGATCCAGGGTTGCTGGACCTTCTGACTTTTTAAGAGATATAACAACATGAATTTTTTTTTTTTTTTTAAACATACAGTTGCCCACTTCCAAAATGTTTGGGGCAAACAATATATATCCATGGGCAAAATCTGGCCTGTGGCTGCTACTTTGCAACCTCTGCCCAGAAGCCAGAATGGCAAAGTCAGGATACATGGGCTTCATTACCAGCAAGCAGATAACTCAAGGTCCTATCTGCTAAACCAAAGGGTAACCCATTCACCTCCATGGGCCCTGACTTGGTCGGCATTTCAAGTTTGAAATGTCCTTCGTCCTGTTCTCTAGCCTGCCCTTGGCTTCATCTCTCAGCACAGAAATAAACCGCTCTCCACCCTAATCCCAGAATAAAGCCGCCAATGGGTGTCTGGTGAAGGAGCAAGGGACCCCCTAGTCTGGTCAGTCATCTGTGCAGACTGCTCAGAGAGGAGCCAGGCCTGGGGTCCCAGTTGGCTGTGGAAGAGACAGACCACATGGAATTGTATTGACAGCATCCTTCAGGAGGGTCTGATACTTCCAGGTGTGTGAGCACCTTGCTGACAGCTAAATCGAAACAATGCCAAAACCATTGGCCACTTGATTTGACTCTGCCCAACGGATTATTGTAACTGGATGACACACTGATATTCCAACTCCTTTTCAACCGGTGTTGGAGGGTGAGTGGATGTGCCTCATGACTCACTCTTGGGTGTGGCTACCTAATGGGCAGGATTATCTCCCGTCACAGGCAGAACTGTTCCTGCTGAAAGAATAAAACCAGATCCAGCTGAAGTCAAATGCCTGGAAATTTCAGGACCTCCTTTCATTCCATATTGCACTGTCTTACAAAGGTCTTTGAAATTTCCCTGCTCTCATACTCAGAGGGGATACACAGTTGAAGAACCAAATAGAATAGAACCAATCACAACTGGAAACACAAGATTGCAAAGGCAATGCGTCCTCTCATGTTTGTTTTTTTTTTTGAGGGGGGGCTTGTAGCAAATAATTTGGAATATGGAGAACAGTTTTGTTTTGATGAAGCTGCTACCCTGAAGTTCTTTAAAATGTGAGCTGTAGATTCAGTATTTTGTGATGCTGTGTATGGAGCCCTCTTCTGGAGAACTGTTTCAACAGGCATTAAAACAAGATCAACACACACACACACACATACACAGAGAAATACTGTTGGTTATTTAGATAATAGGACCTTCATTCGAGTGTGAATTGAATCCATGGTTTGTCTTTTTCCTTACCTTCAACTAAATAGAAAATATAGACTCCCCAAGAAACTGTATTTTTGGAAGGAAGGAGAGAAGGAGGGATAGTCTCAAGAAACTAGCTGTACTTTGACCTAAGCTGTAAATTTCAGATTGAGTCACAATTTACACATCCAAAATGTAAGGTATCAAAGGATGATACTTGAAGATAATGCAATTATTGGGTTGGGTACATTGGTTTGTTGGGTAATTTCACTGTAACACATAGAGGATACTTCTGGAAGGAAATAGATTTTACTTAATGGAAAACTCAAGAGCTAAAGATAGAAAAGGGGAGAAGGGAGGGAGGCTGAAAAGGAGAGATCAGCTAAGATGACTGTTGGGGCTTTTAATATAGACTGTGGGATTACATAAATTCCAAATCACATATTCAGCCTTACAGTCTATTGAATCTCTTTAGGGACTTGCTAAAAAAAAAGTGCAGACACTTGAACTTTGTCTCCTTTCACCATTTATATCTGTTTCTCCAGCACTTTTGAAATCTTCTAGGCTGTCCCATGCAGAGCCCATCTGGAGGGTGGGGGTGCTCTCTGCAACTCTCCCAGTCTTCTCCCCCTCATCCAAGAGGTTCTGCAAATACGCACTGCTCTTAAAACCCTAAAAATCTCTTATAAGAAGCTGCAGGGGCACTAGAACACACCAATTCTCACTTAAAATTCTGAAAATCAAGATTCCGACTCCAAGAGAGAACACCCCACTCTCAGTCAAAATCTCAGAATCCCGTGGAACATTTTTAATCACTCCCAAGCGACTGCTCTCCAAACCTGGAACCACTCCCTAAAATCCTGATTCTTAGGAGATTACTCACTCATTGTTACAACTTTCAGTTAGTTGCAAATGCCACTAACCAAGTGGAGGGGGGGATCATATTTACAGTGGAATTTCTTGCTCACAACGGACTTCATTTCATGTTCATTACTTATTGTTGGCAAATTCCAGGGGCCACTTTCAGGATGAACTTTCCCAAAACACTCCAGGGAAGTGGACAGGGGACTGTCCCTTAACTTTGCCAGCTTCCAGCCAGTGTTGAGCGACACTGCATTCCTCCTTCCCCTTTCAAAATGCCTAAAACAGCAACACGGCCAATAAGCTTACAGAGACCGATGGCTTCCCCTGCCTGGTCCAGTGTCAGCCTGGCCCAGTGTGTTACAACTGCCCTGGAAAAGTACACACATGCCTGCCTGAACACCACCAGAGCCGCCGACTAATTTGCTTTATTACACTGGTTTTCCCTCTCTTCTGTTTTCTCCCTGCCTCAGGAAGTTTTGTGTTTGCTTGTTGACTCAAGACTCCCCCCACTTTTAGTATGGCACATGCAGCTCTGCTCTTGAACCTCTTGCTGGATAACTGAAACGCAACAAAATGAATTCTCTGCAAAATGTTCTTGCTACCCAGATATCAATGATTGTCCTAATGTGGACATTTGCTCTGATTATGCATAACGATCTTAGAGGGAAATAAGCCTCCCAGGGCAGGCACTGTGCGGCAAAACCTTTGTTACCCCATTTTAAAGACACCGAATGAGCTCAGAGCCAGGCCTAGTGTGAGGTAGACACCACCAGTTGCTTTGCAAAAGGTGCCATGTACAAAGCCCCTAGTGCGGGGGCCTCTCTGGACGCTCTCACGTGGGTCTGTCCTGCTCTAAGGGAGGCGTAACTTTGGACAAGCCCTGGAATTGAAGCTGAGGTCGACACCCACTAAGAGAGGGGAAGGACTTTAAAGTGCTTGATCAGGCAATGCTAAGGGCTACTGGACACTGTACCAGGCATAGTGGTGAATGCTTTTTGTAGGGCATCCATGTGAATGCAACTGACTGCTCCCAGCAGTCCTAGGAAGGTGATAGATTATTTTACAGGGGAGAGCCTGGGAGCTCCAAGACGTTAAGCAACTAGCCCAGTGCCCTACAACTGGCACATGGCAGACAGGTGGAGGCACACTCTGAACTCCCTGCTAAACTGGGCTATGCAGACACACATACAGCCTTAGGGCTATGCAGGGTCCAGGCAGTCTGTAAAACTGGTTCACAGGCAGCAGTAGGATTTGTGGCATGACTTCAGGCTACAGGGACCCCAAGAGAGTCAGGAGCAAAGTCCTGGAGGAAAAGGCGCTATAGCTGGGAAGTCCTGGATGGGGCCATGTATCCAGGGAAGAGGAAGTCATGAGTGGGGGCGGAGGTCAGCAGCCTGGGACCTTAGCGCTGTCCCCTGGCACTAGTATCCACCCCCCTCCTCTGAGTCATGTTTATGGTCATTGTGTTTCTGGGACACCAGCCCATTTCCAAACTCTAACCCTAATCTTGATCTAGCACTGGTCACCCCTTAAAAGGCTGCACCCCGCTCCCTTCATCCCAGCCAGCCCTTTTCTTCCCCATCACCCTTACTCTCATCCACCCGCTCACACAAGTGCTTTTTCCCCTGACACCCAGAAGCCTGGCCAGAACTCCACACCCATTCCTAACATCCTGGGGGCACTCACTATCTCCTTCCTTCAGCTCTGCCAGGCGCTGCCCTGCTCTTCCCCGCCCATTTGTAGGCTGCCAGGACGGCCTCAGGGGACTGGGTGCTGTCTCTCTGGGAAACCACAGGCCCCTGAGGAGGGCTGGGCGTGCCCCTCAGCCGCCAGCACCCTAGCTTGGCCTCAGAAGACTGTTTCCTGCTGGCAGGCAAACCTCCCAGATGCAGAGGAGATTGCTGGAGCACCTCGTCTACACCCTCCTCCTCTCGGGTTGGCGGCCTTTCCCTCGCGCAGCAGCGCTCCCAGGGTTAACAGGCAGCTGCAGCCCGTGTATGCAAGGATTGAACTTTTCTCCGCGCTCCGCGACCGGCCAGGAAGGCAGCGGAGGCAACAGCCCGGGCCCGGGCGGCCGGAGCTCCAGCTGGCTAGACAATGGGGGCGCGGGGGCCCGGGCTCTGTCCCTTCCGGGCCCGGGGTCGGGGATGAAAGGACCCCGATGCGGGCGCGGCGCTGCCGGCGCCTGAGCGACAGCAGCAGCCGGGCTGCGGCGCTTGGCTGGACTGATTCACCTTAGTGCGCGCAGCGGGGCTGGGTGAGGGGCCGGGCAGCCCGCAGTCCGGACCCGAGCACCGCTGCCCCCGCTAGGTGCTTGTCTGGAGAACCACGACTCACTGGAGTAGCCTCCAACGGAGTCTTTTTCCAATGCAAGAGCCGCCAGAGGAGGCGAATCAAAGTTACCCTACTTGATGTAGGCAAGAATGTCGCCCCTGCTTGCAAAAAAAGAGGGTTTGGGAGCTCTCTCCTCCTCCCAAGAACGTACACACACACACACACACAGAAGCCAGGGTGGGAAGCTAGGGCCCTCTGAGGATCTCCAGGGCTGGCAATGACCTCCCTTCCGAGCCCCGGGCTGCGTCCGCCGCTGCGCACTGAAGCCCCGGGCCCCCGGAAAGCCCCCTGGTCCTGGCCGCGCTGGGCGAACCGAATGCAGAAATGGGGCGCGAGCCGCGCCGGAGCGAGGCTGCCGACGGCTGGCAGCCTCTTTTCCCTACCTGGGACAGAAGAACGCACAGAACGAACGGAGTTTCCAGCTGCATTTTGCCCGACTAGAAGAGCCCGGCGGCGTTTTCATTCACACTCGCGGCTGCACTGAGCATATTTTCCGTGGGAGCCAGGCTTTGAGGAGAGGCTCTGCCTCGCCAGCCAGCCAACTTCCCAAATAGATCAGTGGCAGCATCACGAAAGCATTGGGTAGAGGCTGATGACCAGGACCAATGGCTTTACAAGACGGATTCCTTCATAAAGCTCCCTCGTTTTGCATGGCAGATACGGGGCTAGCACCTCGCGCAGAGCGAGCCCCTAGGAGGAGGAAGCCCATTTGCCTTTTTGGACTGTTGGGGGCTCCGCTTCACAAATCACGCCTGGGCAAGGCAAGCAGATTCCACTTTTCCGGAGAATGGAATTGCACCAGGGGCTGGCGGCCACTTCCAGCCTCGTGCGAAAAGATTCTCTTTATTAAAATGTTAATAAGATCCACTTTATTTCCAATAAATCATATAAAATGACCCCAGCAGTTCCAGCCCTTTCTACGCCTGGAAAGGCTTGGTTGTGATTTTTTTTTCTTCCTTTTTCTTTCTCTCTTTTTTTCCCAGTATGGCCCAAGTCAAGATGGTATTTGGTGTTTCCCTGCCATCTCTGCCATCTCACAAATCACAAAGAGGACAATTCTAGCCTGCAGGAAAAAGAAAAAAAAATCCACCAAGGGACAATAGATTTTATTAACTGCTCAGGTGACAGTCTGACTGGTTGCCGGCTCTACAAATGTGCATCTGGCACTGAATCTGGGGCCATGATTTGAGAAAACTTTTTTTTTTCTCTATAGGAATGTGACCATTCAGAAGCTCCTGGCTACAGAACAGCAGTAGTCACTGCTCAAGGGATTTTATAAGTGGGGAGCTTTGGGGATGGGGGTAAGAGAATATCGAGGTCTGCCTTCCCCCAGTAGCAATCTAAGCGTACACACCTCACTTTATCATTTCCATGTAGCCTCTTCTAAAAAGGACTTAAGGTGTTTTACAATAAAAGACATTTGTGCAATAGAATTTATAAAACCAAATTAGGAAATCTGGGCTAGGAGGAAAACGTCAGAAAATTGAAGTGCTAACCTCCATCTCTGATAATATACTTGCTTTGATTTGGATCTGAGCTTCCTGGTGGTCAAAGCAATAACAGAAACATGTAAACTAGTTATTGTTATAGAAACAGGCATACAAATGTCTCCAATATAATTCCCCCAGCACTAAATACTGAAAGAAAAAAAAGTGGCATCTAATAATGTACAGGACACTGAGCAACGAAGCATGCATAGATCTAGTGGACAGGGCTGTATTTCCCAGCATGTGGCACAGAGCCTGAGACGTGGAGACAGTCATTAAACCCAAACTCATTGCTGTCGAGTCAATTCCAGCTTATAGCAGCCCTATAGGACAGAGTAGAACAACCCCATAGGGTCTCCAAGGCTGTAAATCTTTAAGGAAGCAGACTGCCACATCTTTCTCCCACGGAGCGGCTGGTGGGTTTGAACCACTGACATTTTGGTTAGTAGCCAAACGCTTAACCACTGTGCCACCAGGTTGTTGAATAAGTAAGTAGATGGCTGACTTAATCAAGAGGCAGCAGATCTGGGTAGGGCAAAGAGTCTGGAGCCACACTGTCTAGGTGCAAACCCAGCTCTGCCACTTTCATGTAAGTTACTCAAACTCTCTGTGCCTCAGCTTGCCCACTGGTAAAATGGAAATACAAATAGTACTGAACTCGTAAGGTATGGTGAGGATTACATGTTAAAATAACTACCCAATAAATGTGAACTGATACATTATTTTAAATCCCTTCCTTGTCAACTGTTCAGTCACATGGTCTCCAACAGGCTGTCCCAAGATTACTGATGAGGATGCAGTGGTGTTCTGTCAATCAGGAGCCAGATGAACTGAGCCCATGAATTTAGCGGACACAAAGGTAGGGACAGAGAGCAGGGGACAGCTCAGGAAATGATGAACCATGGTGAGTGGTAAGGACGGGAGAAAGATGATGTCCTAGCCAGGTTTCCACCAGAAGAAGCTCAGTGGAGAGGAAGCACTTCTAAGAGTAGAGAGTGTCCAAGGCTGCAATCAAAGGACAAGGCAGTGTGATGGATTTTCTACTTCTGCAGGCCCTTTCTGTGGTCCTCTCATACAACTGTCATTAGTGCTGTTCACCAAGCATCCCAGTTTTCTCCCTTCTCGGCACACAGCAGGGTTGCACTTGCTGGGCCCCTCGTGATCCGAGTGGGGTCATGTGACTAGTTCTAGCCAATGACCTGTAAGAAATGACATGTGTCACTCAGAGGCTGCAGTATTTAATTGCCAGTGTGAGACAGGTTGGTTTCCTTGGCAATAGATGTGGAGACAAAGATGTGTACCAGGTGGCTTGCTAGGGAGTGTTTTGAGGAACATCTGTAAGAGCATGAGGGAAACAAGATTGGCAGATGGAGAAGTTGAACAACCTTGCAATTGCAATAGAGGCTTCAGCCCATCTTAGGGGAGCTCTGAGGCTGGGATGGCCCTTCAGAGATGACCCTAATAGACTGAGGGGGCTGGGCTTTTGTGCTTCCAGTGGGCCAGTTGTGGGATATGAGCTGCCCCCAAGGAAGGGGATAATCTTGGGTGAGGCAACTCAGTTTGGCCAAGGGCAATCTTCTGTTCTGACCTCAGATTCATCATCTACATATAAAACTAGGGCATTGGGCCCATAACAAGTCAACAGAAATCTATGATTCCCAGCCTGAACATGCCCTTGTGAGTTTGATGGTACAAATGAAGATAAATGTAGATTTGTCCAGCCAAAACTCTACTGACTCTGTCTACAGGCAGAAACTGTTCAGGCAGTTACCAAGGTCGTGGAATTTGGTTCTGGGTTGTTCCACTGGCAGGAGGAACGTCCCTAGCCCACCTCACCTGACTCCCAATGGGTTTGCCCAAACGACCATCCTCATCCCTTCTTTGCTTGGATTTTGGAGCTGGGAGGAGTTGACTTCAGGGGTCTTCTTAGGCCTGAGGCTCACTTCTACAAACCCACAGAGGCCTCAACTTCTCCCACAGAGCCCAGAAAAGTGGAAAGAGATCTGTCAGCTAGATGAGAACTGGATTGGGATCTCCAGACTCCATTTATATTGGGAAAGTTATTTTTCCTCCCCAGGCCTCAGTTTCTTCATCCACAAAATGGGGATGATAACACTCCAAAGGCTATTGCAAAAATTGATACTACTTCTCCTCACCACTCCCTACTCCTCCTCAAAGAACGCGCGCTTTGCCAAAGGGCACAATGTCAGGTTTCCTTCAACAAAGACAGGAGGAAAATCATTTCATACCAGTGATAAAAGGCCTCTGAAGAAGAAATCCATTTTTGTTTGTTTGTTTGTTTTTCCCCCAGCTTCCTAATGGGGGTCTTCTAGCTGATGGATTGATTGATGGTGGCAAATAAATAATGATACTGAAAATCAACCCCCATCCATATCCACCCCATCTCCTCCCACCCAGCCCCTGTCTAAGGCACAGCTGCAAGCTCCCCGAGAAGTTGTGTCTGCATGGAGACACCGTCAATGTTCACACCACTTTTCCAGGTGCATCTGCCTGGCTTGGGATCTGACAGAGTCTCCAACAACAGCTGCCTCCTGCTGATGCGATGGGTGGAGACAGTTTCCTCTCTCTGGCTCATGTGGATGAAGACATATCAGAGTGCAGGGAGGGAGCTGTGTTGGGCCATGCTCGTGTGCTTGCGTGCCCGTGTGCACATGCGCATGGGCATGTATGTGTATGGGGGGACGGAGACAGTTGGTGTATAGTCCAGCAAAGATAATTCATTTAAATGTTGGTACCCTTTGAGTGTGCTACTGTGATGAGGCATTCTTATAAAAAAGCGATAAGCCAGATAGAAGCCCTTATGAGACACAACAGCTGTCAGATATGACTGGAGCCCTCAATACTGGGGATATACTTGGACAGCCTAGGAGAAAGCTCACACCATGCAGCATTACAAAATACTGTCATGCTGATGGCGTACCCTTCTCAATGGGACAGCTTCTACATACACCCAAGATGCTGACAACATACCTTCCCACAACAAGTCTTTCCCTGACCACCCAAAAGTAGCCCCCTGATCACTCTCAAGCTATGTACCCTGCCTTATATCTCTTTATAGCCCTTTTTGTTACCTGGCCCAGTACTATATATGATCAACAGCATTGTCTCAATTCTTCACTCCAACATGCCTCTATACCCTTAGCCCCTTGACTTTGGGTTTGACTGGGGGATTTGCTTTGGCCAATGGAATGAGGTAGAAGTGATGGGGAACAAGTTACCAGCCCAGGCTCCAAGGGGCCCTGTGTGTTTCAGCTTGTTCTTGCTTGGGTCTCTACCAATGTCTTGAAAGGAATATTGTGGGCTAGCTTTTCCAGGGAGGAGAGTGGAGTACCCCTGACTACCTGAGACACTTGAGCAAGACCAGCAGAGCCCTGCTCAGATCAGTAGACCCACAATTGTGTGAGCTAAAAATATATCAGTGCTCCAATTTTGGAGCGGTTTTTTACACAGCAATAGCTAACCAATAATTATATTTGCTGTTTGTTGTCTGTTTCCCTCTGGAATATAAGCCCCACATCTGTCTTTTTGCTGTTGTGTCCTCAGCTTCTAGAACAATGTCTGGTGTAGAATAGGTGCTCAGAAATTTTTTGTAGAATGGATGAATTAAATGGCGTTTGTACTAAAAAAATTTGTGATACAGATAGGAAAACTTCCTAAAGGTACTGCCCCATTGGAACTACTCCTGGTGGCAACTGTTCCATCCTTCCACACTGAAAGCAGCCTCTGCCTATCAGATTCAGCCTAGGACAATGCAAGTTCTTCTCACAATAGTCTAGACCAGGACAAGGAGGCATAAAGAACATTCCACACAGGCTAGTGTGAACATGTGGGTGCTTCGAGATCTTTAGCAGAGGACACTTGGGGGTCTGATTTTTTTTTGACTCTCCCCAGTGTATGAAGAGCTCACACATGTAAGAATAAGTCGGAAAATACTCCTTTGGCTTTGAGGGGCTGCACTAATATGCTGTCCTCTGTGAATATGTTTAATACAATCACAACATCTATCTTAGCATGGAGATGAAGCCAGGAATTACTTTTAGGCATCTCAGTTAAATTGGCTGAACTGTCTTTTGGACCTCAGTCCCTCCTTAGCAGCAAAATTCTGCAGTCAGACGCTAATTTTATCCTGTGAACCAGAAGCAGTTAAAACCCCCCTCTAGGTGTCTCCCTTACCCAAAATTAGTGGCCGGGGTTATTTCCATACACAGAATCATGTCAA